AAAGTGCCACAGAAGCACACAAAGCAGGATAAGAAAAAGGGGGCGCCGGAGGCATAGACCCAAAGGTCGCGAACCTCCCTTTCCCGCGGGACCTGGGCCAGGCCCAGGTCACCTTAGCAGGTTGCTACGCGGGCGACACCGTTGACAGCGTGGCAATTCCTCCCTTTTTATTTTTTAGACGCTCGGCATACAGATCTTCTTTAACCCGTTGGAGAGATTGTGCCATGCCTCTAAAACAACAAGGAAATATGAACAAAATAACTCCTATTACAGCTGCTAATAAGGCAAATACAAGAACATATTGGATCCAATCTAATGGGTTTAATGCTTTGATTCCAGCAGTTAGGCTAGTAGCCAGGTCACTTAATTCCGTTGTCTTATCATACGCTTGACTCATGACTGCAATATCTCTTTGTATTCCTTCAAGATCATGTGTAATGGATTGGTCTTGCCAAACACCCATGAGATGATGTTTAACCTTATTCCAATCTAAAGAGGTGTTGTATGGCAAAGGGGTAACGCAAATAGCTTTAAATTGTTCGTGACAATGGGTTTCCATTACTCTTTTTAAATTATTAACGTCCTGACCAAGGGCTAACACTACTTCTTCCAATACATTTAATTTTGCTTCTAATTTCTTATCAATAATAACTTGTTCAGATAAAGCAAACGTAACATTTTTGTTTAGGTTATTCACAAAATGGGCTGTATGAATTTCTTGGACCAATGCTGTTGTGGCTACTGCAAATGTGGTAATGATAGATATTAATGCTGTGATTCCTAAAATCAATGCAGCAATAAACCTTTTTGGTCGAATTAAAGCTGTTAACTCTTCAAGAACTTGCATAGCTGAATTATCATACCAAGTCATATTGGGTAAATGTACTGGTAACATCACAAAAGATGGCCTCCGTACCAATAACAAGACTGTTGCATTATTCCTTTGTTCCGGAGAGACACAATTAGTTAAGATGCAATTAATGCAAGACACATGATAGGAATTGTTACCAAAGGGAGTTATAGCTAAATTTTTTGAAGACCCCAATAACACAGCATAAGGATAAGAAACACAACTTCTCACAGCCAGGATAGTAGTTCCTGACTGTCCAGGGCGGTCTTGTAACACCATATTAGAAGCAGTAATTAGGCGAAAAAGGTCAAAGTGTATCTGCTGTCTGGTGGGTGATCTGGCGACCCAAATAGGCTCTACATATCCGGGTGAAAACCAATGAGTGAGTGTCTCCCCTGTGGGGTTGTAAAAGATGTAATTATGAAATTTATCTTTATGCTCTACTAAGTACTTATTATAATGTCCATCTCCAGAGGATGAGGAGTAATCCCAAATGCTGATATTTTCAAAACCCAAAGGTTTATGTCTTACTGCAGCATTATCAAATACACACACTAACCATTCTGGAAATGGTGTCAAATTGCTATCCCAAAATTGATCAATATCCCGGTATCGTTCTCTACATTTTTCTAAGGGCATATGTGGGTCTGTTTCAAAAATCTCATTCCCCAAAGGTGATCCCAAAGTCATTAAGCGTGTTTCCCATATCCATCGTTTATCTTCATCGTCCTTGGTACTGTCCTTCCCTTTGTCCCTATAAGATGAATCAGTAAGAAAAGTGCGATAGCCTATGGTCAAGCAACCAGATGGTGGAGCCCCAAACAACGCAAAACAAATGGGTAGGGAATCTGATTTGCCGGTAAAATTTATATGACTAGCTGCATGCTCTCTTTCTGAAGAATCTTGTAGACCCCCCAACACTTCAGACTGATTAGTAAGAACCTTGAGAGAGCTGTTTTCCAGCCACCCCACCGGGTGTAACAAAGGTGGGTTTGGAACATACGCCCAGTAGGCTGCTGCAGGCGTGGGGGATAACGCCTGTCCTCCTACAGAAAGAAGGGATAGCATAGCTAAGAAGAGGTGCTCAGCCGTTGGCTTCGGTGTTTTTGTCTGCGCCAACTTCCTGGCTTGCTTCACCAGATTCTTGCACTGCGTCCAGGTCGGTAGTCCTCGCGGTTTCAATGACATCTGACGCATTTTCAGAGCAAGCAGGGCCGCAGCCTTCTTCTCCTTCCTCTTTGCTCTGTGTCTGCGGCGCCGGCTTAATGAGGCGGTCCGGGATCCAAATTGGAGACTCGGCATCCTGTGGAAAAACACAAGCATAGCCTCGACCCGAAGCAAGTAGTGGATCGGGCCCCTTCCATGTCCCTGTTAAAACATCCTTCCATAAGACCTTAGCCTGTGCCTTACGGGGCATAGTCTGTTGCCAATATTTTTGAGCTGGAGTATTCCCATCCGTATCAGAATTCAAATAATTTATCACAAAAAGGGCATGGCTCAAAATGTGATGAGGGGTATAATATTGTTGAGTCTCCTGTAATCTTTGTATTTGTAATTTTAAAACTTGATGAGCTCGTTCAATTATGGCTTGCCCTTGAGGATTGTATGGAATGCCTGTGGTATGCAAAATCTCCCACCGTTGAAGGAAGGATGCAAAGGCTTTGGAGATGTATGCAGGACCATTATCAGTTTTTATGTGCATTGGTTTACCCATAATCATAAAACACTGCATTAAGTGTTGTACAACATCTTTTAGGGCTTCTCCTGTTCTAGCAGATGCATACATGAAGTGAGAATAAGTGTCTATAGTTACATGTACAAACTTCATTCTTCCCAAGGAGGGAATGTGAGTCACATCCATTTGCCAAAGGCTTAAGGGCTTTAAGCCTCTAGGGTTCACTCCCATTTTAAGCCCCCCAGCGGGGGGAGGGCAGTGTGCACATTCCTTAACGATGTGCCTTGCTTGTTCTCTAGTAATTTTAAACATGTATCTCAGCGCATTAGCATTTTGGTGATGAAGTGCATGGTTCGCTTGAGCTTCTGATACTAGCATTATATGACTTCTGGTTAAAAGATCTGCCATACGATTGCCCTGAGAAAGAGCTCCTGGTAAATTAGTATGGCCTCTAATGTGACCTACAAAAACTTTCTTCTGTCGCTGTTGTAATGTTGTCTGTAACTGTTTTAACAATGGAAGAATGGTTGAAGGGCCAGAGAGCAGGGCGGTCTCTATGTGTGGGAACAAATTAACTACATATTTAGAATCAGTATAGAGATTTAAAGTCTGTGGAAAATTTGCCAGGGCAATTATTACCGCCTTGATTTCTGCCTGTTGGGCAGACATTTGAGTCCCCCGCTCTATGAGGGGTTCTTGGCCCTCAGTATAAACTGCAGATGTCCCATTAGATGAGCCGTCAGTAAAAACTACTAATCCTCCAACAAGTGGCTCAGGAGAGCATATCCGAGGGAAAATGAGATTAATTGATTTAACAAATTCTAACAAAGGGCTTTGTGGATAATGATATAAAATTTGCCCTGTATAGCCAAGTATTGCCAAATTCCAATCATCCGATTCTTTAAACAATAATTCCACTTGTTCTTTGTTAAAAGGTGTAACAATTATCTGAGGTTCCCGCCCAAATAGTTCTCTGGACCTTATTCTGCCTTTATACACTAATTGAGATACCATAAATGGGTATGATGCCACTGTCTTTTTCTGATGATGAGGTAAATGTAACCATTCCAGAATGCCCTGCTGCCACAAGCAGGCGGTTGGAGAATAAGAGGTGGAAAACACAAGTAAATACCACTGTTGATTATAATCTAATTGCTTTACTTTCGCTTTCTCTAAAGCCTGTTCTACTATCCGAATGCCTTTCAAGTCAGCAGGTGTCAATTCTCTTTTTGAGGTTGGATGCGTGTCCCCTTTTAAAATTTCATATAAGGGGTCCAAGTCCCCTGTACTTACATGTAAATAATTCCTTATCCAATGTATATTCCCTAGCAATTTTTGAAAATCATTTAATGTTTTCAATTTATCTACCCTAATAGAGGCCTTTTGGGGGACAATGAAGTCGTGCTGAAACCACTGTCCCAAATACCCAATAGGTTTGTCACATTGAACCTTATCAGGAGCTATAACCAATCCCTGGGCTGTTAACCTTTCAATAGTATCATGTAACATCTGTCTAGCAGTATGTTCTTTTGGGTGAGCCAGAAGAATATCATCCATATAGTGGATAATATAAGCTTCCGGGTATTTCTGTCTAATTGGAAAAAGTGCCATATCCACATATTTTTTGACATAAAGAGGGACTATTTTTCATCCCTTGTGGTAAAACTTTCCATTGGTATCTTCTATATGGTCTTTTATAATTAATGGAAGGAATACTAAAAGCAAATCTTTGGCAATCTTGTGGTTGTAATCTTATAGTGAAAAAGCAATCCTGTAAATCAATGACAATTATTTTCCAATCGTGTGGGACAGCAACCGGAGATGGCAATCCCGGTTGCAGAGCTCCCATATCCTCCATAGTGACGTTAATAGCTCTTAAATCTTGTAATAATCTCCATTTTCCTGATTTCTTTTTAATTACAAATACTGGGGTATTCCAGGGGCTATTAGACTCCTCTATATGTCCTTTTTCTAGCTGTTCCTTTATTAATATTTCCAATGCCTGTAATTTTTCCTCTGTTAGGGGCCACTGACTAACCCATACAGGCTGGTCAGTTTTCCAAATTATCGGGTCTGCAAAGATGTTCTCTGCAGTGGCCCCTATGAAAAATTCTGCTCATCAGTCAAACTCAGATATTCAACACCATCAGGCTGTGGGCCGTCAAGGGTTAAGACACAGCCCATTTCAGACATAATGTCTCTTCCCCACAGAGTAAATGGCAGAGAAGCTATGACATAGGGCTGAAAGGTCCCTTCCTTTCCATCTGTCTGCCACTTTAAAATGATGGAACTTACTGTGGCTCCTGTAGTGGCTCCAACTCCCAAGAGAGTAGCTCCTGTATTATGTACTGGCCACGTTGGAGGCCAATCTTTTCCGGCTATGCAGGTTTTATCAGCTCCGGTATCTAGTATACCTCTGATAGGCTTTCCATCAATGTAAATAGTTTTGAATGGTCTGTTATCCATCTCTTTCACTCAGGCCGCAATGTCCGTAGACCTGAACTGTCCCAAGCCTCTTTTTCCTGTAAGAACAGGCGTTGGCAAAGGGATGTAGGGCAGCAATAACAATTGGGCTATTCTTTGGCCTTTATGTAACTGTATGGTTTCTTTCAATGGTTTGACCATTACTTTTATATCTGATTCAGTGTCCGAGTCTACCACCCCTGGCACAATTTCCAAATGTTTATTGATATTTGAACTCCGGCCAATCACGAGTCTCACCGTACCCGGAGGTAAGGTGCCTTTAATACCTGTTGGTATGACTGTTATGTCATCCCATTTGGACAAAATAACATCAACGGGACAGGCCAAGTCCAAACTTGCGCTGCCTGGGGTTCCCCTGGGTAGAGAATGAATAGTAGTTTCAGGAGCAGTTTCAGGAGCACCTAAATTCAGTGGAGCCATAGTAGCGGCCGATCCATTCCCCTCTTTTTTTGCAGGGCTAAGGGGATGCCCCTCTTCTAGTTTTTTGACTCCCTTTTTGTTTCTTTCTCAGTTAATGGTACACCGTCCTTGGTGAACTTTGATCTACATTCATTTTTCCAATGCCTGCCTCTTTTACATTTTGGACAGAGACCAGGAGGTGGACGAGAGCCTTTGTTCTTTACCTCAGAACAATTTCTTTGTACATGTCCTAGCTTTCCACAACTATAACATCTTGGGCCTGAATTAGGCTCTCCATTCCCATTAAGCCCCTTTTTTACATAAGTACTAAACTTTTGTCCCTTCATTGCAGCGGCATATGCGATGCCTTGCACAACCGCTGGAGAGGCATCGAGGCAGGCTTTAATGAAATCCTGCAAGGTCCCCGTTTTTCTAATAGGTCGTAATAAATCCTTGCATAAAACATTCGCATTTTCCCATGCTAGTTGTTTTATAAGCATATCAGTCCCTTCTGAAGGAGGGAGCATTCTGTGTACTGCCTCCTCTAAGCGAGAAACAAAATTTTGATAAGTTTCCTCGGTTCCTTGCACTATGCCTGATAGCGTTGTTCCTTTTGCCCCGGGAGGGGGCAGCTTCCTCCAAGCTAAAATAGCATTCTGTGTTACCGCTTCCAAGACATCTCTAGGTAACTTTACCTGGGCCGAATTGGCAGCATATTCCCCTGTTCCTAAAAGCATGTCCATAGTTGGTTTGGTACCTCGTTTCTTTATCATCTCCCCTATCGTGTCCTTGCACCTATCCTCATAATCAGTCCTCCAGAGAACATAGTCCCCAGGAGACAAGGTTGCTTTGGCAGTCTGATGCCAATCATAAGGAGTCATCCAATTGCTTGCAATCATGTCCACTATTTGTAAAGTGTAGGGAGCAGATACTCCCGAAGACTGCACTGCTGACCGTAACTCTTGTAAGGTCTTAAGTGGAAGAGGCTCCCAGGAGGGGGGATCGTCACCAAATGCCTCTGCAATTGGGAAGGCAAATGAGGTGTCTCCAAGGCGCCGTGCCTCAGCCATAGCGCCTTGAAACCCTACAGGAGGTGGGCACAAACGAGGCTTCGGAATGGGTTTTTTAGCCCGTCCCACTGGGAATGCTCTCATAGGAGGGAGCTGATGGTCTCGAAAATCATCCTCAAAATCCCTTTTTGCCATTTCATCAGCCACATCCCAGTCCTTCTCCTCTCCCTCAGATAGAGGTGGGGCAGTGGGAAGCACCTGCTCTGATCCCGCAGAGGGGTTTTCCACTGCCACAGAGGCATAGGCCGCGGAGGCGGTTTCTTCCTCCAAGCCCTCTAGGTCAGATGTCTGTGCTAATAACTCCTTTATTTGCAACCATAATGCATAAGTGCATAGGGGTAGCTTATCCTCCCCTTCTTCTTTACCGTATTTATGCAATGCTTTGCCCACTTTCCTCCATTCAGTTAGAGTAAGACTGCTGTCTTCTGGAAACCAAGGGCAAAGTTTCTTTACTAAATTCAAGAATTCTGATAGAGCTGAACTAGTCACTTTCAATCCCTTCTCAGATAGCATGCGCCTGATTACAGCTGCAAAGAGCTTGTCCTCCTTTGACATTTGCAAACCCATGATTACCTGCACTTAACCAGTGAGCCTTTACCGGCGGATCCGCGGAATCCTGACAGGAGCCGATCCCTGCTTTGGAAAGAAAAGAAAAGAAAGAGAAGATTACCTGTCCTTCCCGCCACGCGTTGGGCGCCACCTGCCGCAGACTGGCTCGGTCGGGAACCACCAGGCTGAGGGAACGTGGGAGAAGGTTTACAGGAAAGCAGGAGATTCGGCGATGACAGACAGACACCAACACAAGTGAGGTTGAGTGCTGCTGCGATTTTACTGAGCACAGAGTTCCTTTTTTATACAGTCAAGGCAAAATCATAGAACAAAGGGCCAGAATACAATCGGACATTACATCATATCGTGGTTACTTATTGGTGACATATTCCAAAAAATATCGAGGGACAAAAACACTTTCTTAATGCACTTCCTGCTTTGAATTAGGACAAAACATTTACCTATGAATTCTTTAGAGTGATTACACAGGATTTAATGTCTAACTATGGTTCCCCTGTTTACAGAGTTCTTTATCATTGTTTTTCTTCAGCAACTTTTGTTTTCATCTGACAGGGTCTTAACCACACATCACAATCCAGGAAGGGTCTCGGACCTTCCCATATATTGGTTTGCAACACTTTGTTTTTCTGTTAATAAACTCCAGGATGTATGTGCTTGAATCAGTTTTTGTATGGGGGGATAAAGGTTTCACAATGTCCCTCATTCTCATACGGTAACTTATTGTTTTCTTTTATGTTAGGCACCCTTGCTTGAAATTGAGGGCTGTACTGTATGCTAAGAATCTAATTGTTTCAGCCACAATATTTGGCGGTTTTTCTGGCTCCTGTTATTGTTTGGTTTCACTTATGACTCCTGACCTTTGTCAAACCTAACATCTCCTTAGTTTCCTACAGATTTCACAATGATTAAAAGCAAACTATAACTACAAAGCTTCTACCTATTAATCCTAAATACCTAACTTATAAGTAAAATTGGCAGGCAACCATTATAAACTCCATCTGGGATGCAGAAGAGCCACATACCAAAGTGCCACAGAAGCACACAAAGCAGGATAAGAAAAAGGGGGCGCCGGAGGCATAGACCCAAAGGTCGCGAACCTCCCTTTCCCGCGGGACCTGGGCCAGGCCCAGGTCACCTTAGCAGGTTGCTACGCGGGCGACACCGTTGACGGCGTGGCAATATTTTTCTTTTTTAGTTTTATTAAAGCACTACGATTTTCAAAGTTATTCATATCTGGGTTTCAGACATACTACGTTTCATCACCAATCCCACCACAAGTGTCTTATTTCATCCACCAAGGTTCCCGGGCTCCTTTCCACTCATTCCCTCCATCTCCTCAGCTACTTACTTTAACAGGCACATTTTTGTTTGGTTTTGGGTACATGCCAAGCAATTCTCAGGTATTGCTCCATGCTCTGCATTCAAGAGTCACTCCTAGTATGGCTTGGGGTACTGGGGATGGAATTTGAATTGAATACATGCTTGGAATGCATCCTACCCTCTGTACAATCTCTCTAATACTGTCAGGCATATTTTTAACTTGGATTTCTTGTTTTCAGTGTTGTCGGATCTGTGATTTGGATATTTAGTTATAACATTCCTATACACCACTTGTCTATTTGCTTGTTACTTTTTGAGAAATTTCTGTAACGTCTTCAAAGTAGAGAGGATCATTGGACAGTCTCACAAACAGTGAAAGAATATTCTTTTTCAACATCATCCACTAAAACTGGTTATAACATACTCAGTGGTGTGAGATAGTAGCTCATGTTTTTCATTTGCTCTTCTCTTATAACAGATGAAGTTTTTAGTGCAGAGTATAGACAGTTTCAACAACATTTTGTTTTTTATTTCTAATTCTATTGAATTGTTTATGAACATTGCATAACTACTCAGTCAAAATACTTGATTTGGGGAAAACAGAAAATTTGTTTTAATTGAAGAATTACCGTCAATTCTATGACTTCATGTTTTTTTAAAAAACACAAACATTATCAGAAACTGATAAAGAAATGGTTTAAGTATACAAATAAGATGGCGATATCAACTTAAACATGTATATATTTTGGGTATCGTAATGCATTAGCTAGTTAATGGTTATTGAACTTTTTATTTATATTTAAATAATAAAAGTTTGGGGACAGAATGTTTGTATGATCTTTGCATAAAAGTGATCCGGCTTTGATCTCTAGTTCACTGTATAGTCCCATCAGACCTGCTAGCAGTGATCCCTAAAGAACCAGGAGAAAGCCCTGAGTATAGCTGCATATGACTCCCAAATAAAACATAACTAAACAAATTTATTATAGCTTAAATAATATTGTTGAAGTAAAGTCTTTGATGAAAATTACATTTAACATTGAGTTAGGTATATTTCAATGTTTTGATATGATGTGCACTATAGACCAAACATGATTGCCACTCAATGCCCCTTTTGCAAAACACCCAAAAGGAGAGAGAGAACAGAGGGGAATGCCCTGCCACAGAGGCAGGATGGGATGGGGGGATGGGGGGTGGGAGGGAAACTGGGATCCGTGGTGGTAGGAAATGGGCACTGGTGGAGGGATGGGTATTTGATCATTGTATAACTGAAACACAAGCACAAAATTTGTAAGTCTACAACTGTACCTCATGGTGTCTCAGTAATAAAAAAATTATTTATTTCAAACCGAAAAAGATTACAAACATTTAATTTGTTTTTGTTTTTGGACCACACCCAGTGGTGCTTGCAGCTGTTCCTGGTTCTTTGCTTAGAAGTCATTCATAGGAATTGGCGGACTATATTTAGTGCTGAGGACTGAAATGAGCTCCTTATCAATTGTCTTATCTCTTTACCCCTCAGACATTTGCTTTTTAACAAAAATAACTGAAGTATCATATTTATAATATAATTAATATTATATCCCCTTAATTTTCTTGAGGTACCATACTTTATAATAAATACTGCTGTTGATAGTTTCAAGCAGATATCATTCAAGCACCACACCTACAACTAGAGTGCCTGCATGCCTCCACCAATATACCATGGACCTTCTGTCTATCCTCTACTCAAAAGGTAAGCTCAGATCTTTAGACCTACACCCCCTCCCCCCACCAAACTGGTACCTTTGGCCATTTGTTGTTCCATACTACATTTTTCTATTCTAAATATTCCAAATATGAGAGATATAGTTGTCAAGGACGGAAAACAGAAATTGTTAGGTTATAAACCCTGACTTCTGGGTCAGAGGAGAGAGAATTGGATACTACCTAAGATGCAATTGGTAAAGAGTGAAAAAGAAAATATGACTTTTGTCCTTCTTCTGACTTACTTCACATAATGTGATATCCACCAGCTCCAACCAAGTTCAAGCAATTGCATGCGTAATTGCTATTGCTTGCATCTGCATATAATCAGTTGTGTATATTACCACACTTTCAGTATTCACTAATCTGTTGTTGGATCCCTGGGTGAATTCCATATTGTACAAAGTGCTGCAATGAATAATGATGTGCATATGTCCTTAGGAATGAATCTTTTTGTATCTTGGAAGTAGAAAGTAATCTGGGACCTTTGATGGAGGAAAATCCATACTTGCAGTGCTATTAGTATTAGAATATTATATGCCTGAAACTCTATTAGGAAAAACTTGTGATTCATGGTGACTTAACGAAATATTAAAAATAAGTATAGAAAAAGGAAACTAATATTGTTTTAGAGTTTCATTGTTGACTGAAAAATCCTTTCAGTCATTTGATGACTGAAAGATAGGTTAAAATATTATAAAATATTTAACTTCACAAAATATGTTAAAAATCATAATGTAAACTACACTCATCAAAATTTAATTACTTGTAATACTTTTCCATATTTGTTTCATCTATCTTGTTTTGAATTATTTTAAATGAAATTTTAGAGCATCATGATACTAATATGTCTCTTTAAAAATAAAAGCATTATCTGTATCACCAAATTATTGGTATCACATTTATTAATATATAATTTCCTCATATGATTTGATATCGTATTCGATATGCCAATCACAGTAACAAGTCTCACAATGTTACTGGGCCCGCTCGAGCAAATCGATGAACAACAGGAGGACCATGACTGTGACCGTGATTTGATATCTAGACAAGTGAAATAATACATATATGTGTATATGTGTGTATGTTTGTATTAGGATTACAACTGGGTTTGCTCAGGGCTTACTCTTTGGTCTGAATTCAGGGATCACTCCTGCAGTCCTCAGGGAACTATATGAGGTGTTAGAAATTGAATTTAGGTCAGCTACATGCAAGGCAAGCACAATACCTGCTGTAATATTTCCCCAGACTCCAAATCCAATATTTTCCACGATATCTAAAGGCCACTCAAAAGAATGTTGTCAAACTTTATGTATATTATCTCTTTTCTAAAAGACACTTGTTTTTCTTTTAAAATATTGAGTTATTAAAGATTTGGCCGCCATGGTTATGTAGAATGTTTGGTCTTGGGAATTTTGCTACTATCTTGTGGTATTAAATTTATTCCTAAATCCCTATGCACACTATAAACTGAAAGTTAATGTTAAAGCAGGGAGTGCATTACTTATACAAAGCTTCATATTTTACATTTAATTTTGACAAAAGCTAGATACTGTTATAATACCTGTCTATTCCATTCTTAGTGATGGCTAGTGATTGTTAGGTGAGAAATTGTTGGTTAGTGTGGTAACTATTAGATCCCTAATTTTTAGCTTTTCATTTTCTCTTTTGAATGGAGCAATGCCTCTGGCAATGCAATTTTTCAAGGATATAAAGTTGAGTAAGTGTGAAATCTGTTTTAAAAGTATCCCCAATGTGGGGCTAGAGAGACAGCACAGCGGGTAGGGCATTTGCCTTGCACGCGGCTGACCCAGGTTCTATTCCCAGCATATCATATGGTCCCCTGAGTCGCCAGGAGTAACTCTTGAGTGCAGAGCCAGGAGGAACCCCTGTGTATCTCCAGGTGTGACCCAAAAAATAAAAAAAAAAGTATCCCCAATGTGGTTTCTTATTTTTTCTAATTTTCTGAGCATGTTTCTTGTAGTTATTTGCTAATTGTATCTTTTTTGTTTACTATATTGTTACTTTCTCCTTTACTATATTTTCTTCTGTCAGGTTGCCAATAAAATATTGTTTTAATAATTAACATGAATAACTTCATGTTTTAATTATTATAATAGTAATGGAAAATAACAGTTTTTAGACTACTGTTTTAATAGAAAGTAGTGGTTTTCAAGATTATGTGGTATGGCACAATTATTTGGGGAAAACATCTTTGAGAAATTTTTAAATAAGTTTTTGTTTACCTCTTTTCATATTATGCTGTTTAGTACTACAGATGCTCAGACATTTTTCCAACTTTGTTGCATAGATGTATTTTGAATAATTAGAAAATTTCATTATACTTCTATATTTTTTGCATTGTTTTAGCTGACTTGTACTTAGAGAGAATTGCTAAATGCATAATTCATGCCTATGCTCATGAATAGCTTCCATCAATTGAATAACCACAAACAATTTATATATTTAACAAGAAATAACATGTATAACAAGCATTTCTGTAAAACCACAAGAATTGCTTTTGAAAAATTATTTGTAATGACTCAGTTTTAATAAACTAATTACTTGACTGAAGAATTTGAATGCAGAAACAAGAGTTTAAAATTGCCTTAGGGAGTGAAGTCTGATAAAGGCTAATCAAAGGAGGTGACAATAAAATAGAATTCATGAATTTTCCTAGTTTGTAATCACTTCAAACACAAGCACACAGTCAAGCATATTCATATAGGTCGGTGCATACATACATCGCATTTAAAATTAACTTTATAGCAATAATACTATAAATTAGATCATTGTGGATTTTGTCTGCATTTCTGTTCCAAACCAGAATATTGAAGTTTGAAAAAATGGATAGATTATAGTCATTCAAATTATTGTTTTGAAACTGAATAGGGATGCAATTTAAGTCTTTAAACATACAATATACACATATAATTGTTCTATATAAATATAGTATATATAATTATATATAATTAAAATGTAATTAAAATAATGTAGGAAATATTAATACAGGAGATATAAATACCTTTTGCAATGAAATATTTTGGTTCAGAAAAATTCTGGGAGTGGTCACTGTTGCTTATATATACCAGTGACGTGGAATTTGTTTGTAAAAAAAATATTATTGCATGGCAGCTTAGTGTACATAAAAATATTTTATTAACCAATGAAAACATTCTATTCTCAAGAAACTCTTCAAATTGTCTAATGTGCCTGAAAAGATATTCTTATGGAAAAGAATGCTTGATTAAATATTACTTTGTCCTCCTTGCTGCTTTTACTCTATAGATACAAATGAAAAATACAAATAAATCAGGAATGGTTTGAGTGATGCTCTTCTTACCTAAGAAAACTGTTAACTAAACTAAATTTTTTTCACAATTACTTTGATACTTTAAATTAACAGAATAGAATTAATTTAAGTGACTGTAATACTGATTAATGCAATAGTCTCAATGCAAGCCTTTTTAACTTTAATATACACAATACGTTACAAATTTTTGTAACTGCAATATTTTTTCTTTGCCTCTTCCATTAAATTTATTGCTTCTGAAAGGATGGAAAGACTAAAATTTTATTTCACTGATAGTTGACAATAAGGAAATTGAAAAGTAAACATATATTAGTTTCTAAAAGTGTAAATCACCAGCAGTTATCATATCACATTCATAATAACATCTGATACTTCTTTTTTAAATTAACATGGCTAATAGAATGCTATATATCTGAAGACACATTGGTATGCTTTTGCAAACTTAATCAGAATGAATTGCAAAGAACATGTAATGGAACAGAAAGTTTCCCATTTGAAGCAAAATCAATGAATTGTATACTTAGCTGGTATGGGAAATACCATTATCACGAAGCTGGTTTTCTCAGGGTGAGGCTTATCCACTGCCTTCAAGGTGTTCTGACCCCTGTTATTTGCAATGTTGCCAAGTCCACTGCATAATTTGTGGTAGTGGGGAACTGTGTTCCCACTCTGCCTTGAAGAAAAAAATGGATGAATTGTATAATTTTATTAGCAATTCAAGTTATGAAAATAGGAAAACATGTGTCCTACTGTGTTTCATCTTTCTTCTTGTACAAACATATTTTTCTATTTTTATGCTTACAATTTGCAACAAAAGGTGAAACTAGTGAGACATATTACAGAAATAATTACTGCTGTTAAACATTTCAAGAATATATATTTTCCAATAAAAAGTCTTAGCATGTCATCTGGAAGATGCTGCCAAAAGCATAGTGGAACGCAATAATGGAAATTAAAAAAAACATTTTTGGACACTTGATTAAACATCCCATAAATTTACTAAATACAATGAAAAAATCAAATCAATAACCTATTAAAATGCTTCTGTAATTCATTTTATTTTATTTTGTAGTGAGAGTAAATGCTCTCTCACATTTAGAAAAATAAAATATTAGAGTGTCTGAATATTAATAGGTAAAGTGTTTATTAAAGGGAAGAATAGTAGAAAAAGGGTATTAATAACTTAGAAGAGTATACTCTGCAATTTAATGAAAATGCCTTACAATTTAGGTTGGCTATATGGGGTTATGGATGACTCAAAAAAAACCCAAAAATCTAGGCAACCATTTATTACCTGATGAGCAATAATTTAATGTTTTTGTAGAAAACCATATTTATGTATGGACATTTAATTGTGTAACTTCTAAATGTTAATGAATAGTGTGTCTTAAAATGGAAATGAACAAGTCCTATCATTTCTGTTCCCTTAACTATAAAGAACCAGAACATGTACCATGTACTTCACAGGGATTTTGAATTTGAATGGAAAGAAAGAATTTTTAAACTTGCATCTTGTTTGTATTCAAAATATGTTGTTAAAATAATATTTGATCGAATTTTCTAGAAATTTCAGTATACTTTGGGGAATTACTTTAGATGACTATACTTACTTGTATGTTTGTGTGTACTTCCCAAGTAGTGCCGAGGAAGCCTGAGGGCCACTCCTGGAGATACTAGATCAACAAGGCTGACAATCTATGCCTCAAGATGCTGTGATGCTCAGATTCTGTGCTGTTGGGTACCACCAGAAACAAGCGATATTTGAGGATCTCTAGGGTCACACCTGACAGTATTCTAAAACAGTTTGTGGTTGGGGCCAGGGAATCTGTGGCCATGGAATCCAATGCTAGTTGGGTATTAGGAAAATATTAATGCTATCCCCTATATCTCCATTGTACTTGATGAACTTAAAGTTAATACTTCATCGGCTACAGTTAGCTTTTTGTTTACTTAATTTTTATGCAAGTCATATCTAAAATAAAATTTTAGTCTTATATAAAAAGTTTTAAAACAACAAAAATATTTATTATTTCTTTTAGTTTTTCAGACTGTGGAATATATTTTTCTTGTACAACAAATTTTCATTCAGTATTTAAAACTATAGTAAGTGTTTTCATGAAGAAAATAACCTCACCCATATAGAATGTCTCTGAATATTATATACAATAACGTATGTAGCTTGTTCATTAGACAAAAATGTTGTGTAAAAATGTTGTTTTCATTCTATTTTATTCTGGTCGTTGTATTGGGAAATATTATCTGGTGAGTTTTCCTTTTGAATTTTCCTGGTCCTAGACCTTATTTTGTAAGGAACATTTACACTCCACCTGCTTTCCCTTGTGGCAAATTTAGGTGTTTGCCATTTCTTTTCACTAATGTGATGGTTGCAATTTGTGTTATTTAAAAGAAATTATGTTAATCGGCCCTCATGGAGATCAGATCTTTTAACATGTTCTTACTAATATCAAGATGCAGCCAACAAAGATATCTGATTACATACAAAATGACAGAAAATGATTTTTTCCATTACAACATTTTCACACACTCTATATTTTACATATTCATTTCAAATTTAAATAGGGATATATTCATACCCCCAAAACATTATAAGGAAACTGAGAGTGAACTGAAAGAAATGAATTTTTAAATGTGCTGGAAACTTAACAAAATGGATAGAATTGGGAGTGTTTTAATATATGCACCTCCCAAGTTTTACTCAGCTGGAAGGAAGAAGCACTGATGAATTTTTATGACTTCTGGAGAGCTAATGATAATATTTGTTGGTGCTGAGATTCTTTGGGGATCACTCCAACAAGAAACTCTTTCCCTTGAGGTGGTGAAATTTGAAGAACAACTTCAAACAGTAAGACTGTTTTCAAAAGAAACAGATGGAGCAGTGTTTGAGGTTATTTCTTAAAGTGTCTAGAATTAATTTACAATAAAATACCTAAATAAGCATTAATTTATTTTAAGAATTTCTGACCTGGAAAATGAGCTCACCAGCTTCCTGCTTCAAATTTCTTTCTGGAACTGATCAAGTGGAAGGATGCATATTATATGAAATGTAGATCTGGAAAAATAACATTAGCAATAATGGCATTTCTTCATGGTGCCCATTCAGAAATGAATGTAGCAAGTATGTATATATAGAAGATCCTTTCACTTATAATTCTTCTGTCTTCAGTGGGGTCATAAGAAGGTCAGATGGTGCGCCACCTGGGACATTTAACAAAAACTAAACTCTTGGCAAAAGTCCAACAAGCTTATTCCATAGATTGTAGGTCTTTTAAATGTAAAATTAAAATCCCTCTTGACTCCTTGTAGTTGATTAATTTGCTACTAGAAGAAGGCAACGGACAAGAAAAGGTTTCATTTTTCCCACAGAACTGATTCAAATTTGTACATGTTTTAATTAATTTTAGAAAAAGAAAATAAATATTTATAGAATATGTAGTGATCTGTCTTCAAGTTTACATCTAATTTTTAGTATAAAATCAAATAATTTGCCATTTTTATCATAATTCTATTCTGCTGGCATGACTTGTAATTTTCAGTTTTGCTTTTTAACTTCTGCAAAATATGGTTAACTAGAAAATATTATTCAGATACTACTAATATATATAATATCATATGAATTAAAACCAAAGATTTTCAAATATGTGTGGGAGATTTGTTTTTTATTATTCATTGTTAGCAATCCTTCCTATGGTCGGTTGAAATAGATTAAAGCAAAAGATGTTAATGTAGCCTAGATAAATGTTCAATTAGCAGACAATTGAGCATGGCTATGATAGATAATATGGGTGGAAAGTAATCAATTTTGATAGTTTTTCTAGGTTTTGACTGTCTGTATTATGCATAGATAAATGTGATTTAAAAAGTAAAGAGCGAGGTACAGCCCGCCCCCAAGGGCCTGGGTCCCTCTCTGGGCATGCGCAGCTAGAACCAGCCCCTAGAAAACCGGTTTTCAACCCCTGATCTGCGTGGGACGGGCACAGAGGCCCAGCTCTGGGCAACAAAGCTGAACGGCTCCAATTCCAACAGGTACAGCCCGCCCCCAAGGGCCTGGGTCCCTCTCTGGGCATGCACAGCTAGAACCAGCCCCTAGAAAGCCGGTTTTCAACCCCTGATCTGCGTGGGACAGGCACAGAGGCCCAGCTCTGGGCAACAAAGCTGAACAGCTCCAATTCCAAACAGGAGACGTTCCCAACTCCTCGGCCAGTGCCAGGGACTCTTTCCGGAGCCGCGGCCGCTGATGCAGCCGCGAAATAGTTTCCCACTACGTATGCCATAGGAACCATAAGCTAACTTCTTAGATGGAAACTTCTCTATTTTAGCTCAGCCACTAGAAACACGGTAGCCAATAACATATACGCCTATCTTAACTCACATTGCATATCAAGCAGAATAGTAACAGTGAACGTGAAGGACTAAACCACACCTCTCACAATGGTAAAGCAACGCAAAAGCCCACCAAACTTTCATATTGAAGAGTCTAGCCCAGATGACACCAACAGTACTGTAGTGTTAGACAACCTCTCTGACAAGGAATTCAGAAGGGAGCTACTTAGGATGCTTAGGGAATTAAAAGAAACAATGGAAAGCAATGTCAATAGAAGACAAGAGCATCTGAAGGCAGAAATGAGGAAAATGCAATCAGAAATGTCAGACCTGAAAAATCCCGTAGGCGAATTGAAAAGCTCAGTGGAAGGCCTCAGCAGCAGAGTAAGAGCGGCTGAGAACAGAATCAGTGAGCTCGAAGATGAAGTTCAGAGACTCTCCAGAAAAGAGCAGAAAATGGAAAAGAGACTCACAATTCGGGAACAGATGGCAAGAGAAGATCGTGATGAAGCCAAGAGGGGTAACATAAGAATTATTGGAGTCCCAGAGGTACAGGAAGAAAACCTCGATGAAGAAGAAACTGTCAAAGACATCATTGCTACATTTCCAGAGCTGAAGAAAACTTGTGACCACATTCAGGAGGCCTGAAGGGTACCAGCTAGAAGAAATCCGAATAAAAATACCCCAAGAAACATTCTGATCAAAATGACCAAAACCTTAGACAGAGACAAAATTCTGAAAGCAGCAAGAACGAAGAAAGAAATCTCTTACAAAGGAGCATCCTTAAAATTCACAGCTGATTTTTCTGATGAAACCCTCATGGCCCGAAAACAGTGGTGGGACATAGTAAAATAACTCAATGAAATAAATGCCTCCCCAAAAATACTTTTCCCAGCAAGACTCTCATTCATAATAGAAGGAACAACACACAGTTTCACAGAAAAACAACAGCTCAGGAACTTCATAGACTCAAAACCATGGTTACAAGAACAACTAAATGGGCTACTTTAAGGCAAGAAAGGCCCCTCAAATACACCAAATTTTAACAGAACAATGGGACAAAATCTCATAACAATAATCTCTCTCAATGTCAATGGGCTAAACGCACCAATTAAAAGACATAGCGTGGCGGGATGGATTAGAAAATTGAACCCAACATTCTGCTGTCTGCACGAAACGCATCTCAATAGTCAAAGCAAACACAGACTCAGAGTCAAAGGCTGGAAAACAATCCTACAGGCAAACAGCTCCCATAAAAAAGCTGGGGTAGCCATCCTTATATCAGACCACATCGATTTAGAGTGAGGAAGGTCATAAGAGACAGTGAAGGCCATTT